TTTTATAGTCATGCTGTATCCTTAGTTTAACTTCAACGTCTTTGTGGTGTCACAGCAGGAAACCAAGACGGTCCCTGTGTCGTACTTTCAGGTGAAAACACCTGCAGCAATGATTAACTCAGTTAGTTGTGTCAGCTTTTCTCTCTTTTTCCAGCTGCTGCAGTGAAAGTTTCTCCCACATCATCTTGTCTAACATTTCTCTGATTAAACGAATGTCTGCTGTAACGCCATGTTCGTCACAGGAAATGGCGTCTTCAAAGGAACGCTTGTAGTTTTACGTCTCTGAGCAGATTTCCACATACATTGAACAAACTCCTGAGCGTGTTGTTTCCACGTTCTGTTTGGTGTCGTTCATGTCTTTGTACAGGTCGTTATTAATGCTCAGAGAGGACTTAAAGTGTTCCTTTAACGTCACAGAATTGCAAGTGTACGATATAATAAAGAGTGATCACTCACCTCATCAAACTGTGTGCTTTACTGGAACTGTTCAGATCTATACTCCAAGAATGTCAATACAGCCTGTGCAGAGAGGTCAAGGAATAAAGATAAGACCTAAATACGTCATGAGACAGAAAACGTTTTACCTTCACTTCAACTTGTGTGTAGAAAAAGTGAGAGTGTGAGTCGTTGTGTTCATGAGCTGAATGTTTTGTCACAGGAGAGAAATAAAAACCATGAAAGAGTCTTTGTTGTTGGTGTCAGTATATTATTTCACACAAACTACGGACATTTAATCAGGTCAAACTCTTCGCTGAAGTACATTTCCTATATTCCATTCACTGAAAAACTTGAGCAATGGTGACCTGACAAGAACCCTTTAAACACTTCATTGTTAATAATACTGTCTCAAGATGACCGTTTTACCCTGAATATTTCCCTTTCTACGGCCCAAAATACTTCACTCTACCTCCTATCAGAGAGAACAGAATTCTCATGACACCAGCAGGTATAAGTAAGAGTTTACAACCTCAGTCTCCTTTCCCATCAACAGTCAGTGACCACCACAGTCCTGAAACACTTCAAAGCTCCCACGTTACCAGGCCTAACAGCAGCAGCAGGAGCCAGTAGATTCAAAGCTTCTAGGCCACAACAACAACAACAGCCAAGCTACCATGCCAGGCCTTGCATGTATCTGCTTAAATGCATCTTACTGTTTGGTCTGTTTATTCTGAACATTCTCAATCCACTTATGAAATCATGCCTCCTAAAAAGAGCAACTGATGATGAGTTTATATCACTCTCTGTATTACATGAGCTACTGATTTTGTGTTATTTTGTTATTATTCTCTGGTTCCAGGGTGGTGCCCTTTGCTATGAATTCAGATTAATAATTTACACATTTTTAATTTAATAATAATATTAATAATAATGTAATAATAATTAATTAATCCTTATTATTAATATTAATTGAATAGCCAAATTGACCACATCAAACCCCAGTGTAATTGATGCCCCGTGTGAAGCAGGGAAGATATGGATGTCCTCGGATGCAGGAAGGCCAGCACATGAGAGACGACGGATACCACAGCTTTTAATGCCTGGAACTCCCTACTGTTGTCCCCCCAAGTCTCTTCCAATAAGGAACTGAGGTCCAGCTTCCCCCACACTTTACACCTAGGTATGAGGTGGTGCAGGGCATGCAGGAATCAGTGTTTTTGCAGGGCCCATATTAGTTTTCATCCAAAAGTACTCAAATCAGGCTCCTGTATGGGGCTATAGGACTAAGTCTGTCCAGCATATGGCTGGTCTCAACATGGACCAACAAAAAAACTTTCATGAAGAGCTGTTAGAGCAACAGGAAAGGTCCTTCAAATCATTTGTTTCAGATTATCATGACTCCACCAACAAACAAATTGACAGTTTAAGTAGTGAAGCAGCAAGATTTTCAGCCCAGAATTTCAGGAGCGGAAATTGAAGATTTATGCCGTTTTCACATTAGGCACGATGGTTTTTGTAAACATATCAGAGCATGCTTGCTCCCCCCTCGGCCCAGGTCACTTGTGTGAATAAACACTCTTAAAGATGGATACAGCCCCTCTCTGGATTGCTGCAAATCAGTTAGCAATGACCTGGCTGACATCCAATCCGTTATATCAAACTGACCACCAAAAATGGATTACTTGAAAAACCAATCCAGAGGAAAATAACCTTCTGTTTGATGGTATCCCAGACTCCAAATCTGAAACATGCGTCTTGTTATTGTTCTTTAATGATTTAAAAAAAATAAAAATAAAAAATAAAAAATAAGACGCAGAACAAGACGTTTTGAGTCTTACTAAAGGACAGATAAATCCTGGAGACGCTCCTGCTACTCATTGTTCTTCTCCGTGTAATCACTGCATCGATGCACTCAAACATGAGAGAGTTGTTCACAGGTTCATGTGATCATAATCCACATCTGCATCACAGATAGGGTAAGAGTTCAGTGACAGTTCTTCAGTCTTGAAATCTTTAATGTCACTAAATGATGATAACAGCTGGTTGGTTTTGTCGCTTTACG